CTGTCCACGACTGTCGCAGGAATCAGACGTTTGGGTTCAGTCTAATCTCCTTTTCTATATGAGTATTTACAGCTCTTCTTTGTTTTCTCTTGCATCCAACTACCTGATACACCCGCAAAGGCATCGAAGCGATAAAGCCCCTTTCACTCCAGAATCAGAGGCTACTGCCCCAGTCTGGGAGTGCTGGACAAAGCTTCTTTTGAATCTAACGATGGTTAGGCCAGATCTACCGAAAGTACAGTATATGGAGACTAGGGGGAGACTAACACGTTTTATCAGAAAGTAACAGCTTCTGTCTCAAGGCAGGGCCCGATCCCGACCGCACTGAATTTCAGTGAGGGCAGAATTGCCTGGGAGAATGTCACCTAAAGGTGAAATCCTGCTGCTCTCCTTTACTTCAGTGGGGCTAAGATTTCCCGTTGGGTGCGGAGATTGGCTCTGGGCTTTGCAACAAGTTGAGGCTTTTTTTTTTTGGTCCCATATATAGCGAAGCAACCTTAGCCACTTCGCAGCTTAGCAATTCAGTAACATCTTGGCAGGCTGCGGAGTTCGCCTTCTGAATCTCTCCCTCTCCCTCCCCTCTCTATTTATGCCGTGGTAGGCTACGCAAATCTGAGTTCCAGCCAGCGAGAAAATGCTCAAAGGAAAGCATTCTAGTTACCCACCCGTAAGCGAAGATATAAATACACGGAGACATTTTAAAGATCTCCTCTGTGGGAAGCGATTGTGTCTTGGAGCTAAATAGTAACGTTTGGAGGTTAATATCTCTGGAACTGGTTTCTGTTTGAGGGACTGTTCCTGCCAGCAAACTCCCCAAAAATCTTGCGCTGAAGAGGGCTGTAAATTCCTGCGCTGTGATGTTGTCAAATATTTCATTGAAGAACGTCATGGAAACTGTGTGCTTTGGGGCAACCTCGGGACCAGGCAGCTAAAAAGCACAATCCTTTTTTCTGACCAAGGCTTGAACTTCTTCCTAGCATACAGCTGCCAGGAGTTCTTAAGTGCCGCATATATGCTCCAACAGAACCAACAGCAGCTGGATTCGACAATTGAGCAGCGGTAATTTGTGCAAAGTCGCCCCAAAACTGGGGGTCCAGCTTCACGCTCCCCTAAACCCCTAAATTTCACTCAGTCCCAACTCGGAACCTACGCTTGTGAGATCCCACTGATGTGTGTGTAGATCTAGGATAATATCCTACTGAGGCCGTCTACTTCTGTTCATGAAAACCATATTTATACATTCATAACATATGTCAGGGCGCAGATGTACACACCCGTGTGTGTAGACCTATATATGCATAGGTATATGTTGTGTGATAGGAAACACACATTCTAGATGAATGAATACAAAGATCAATTATGGAGTCAGAGATTCCGATCAGGGCTGATTTGAAACCAGTAAGAGTTATGGGAGGGATGAAAGTAGGCCCTGATTTGGGGGGGGACTTTCCACAAGCAGAAATGGACCAGGGAATGGCTTATGTATGCCTGGGTGTAGGGATGCTGCACTGTGTGGCTAGTTATATCCTGGCTGCACTCTCAGGGTATGGACCTGCATCTGAAGCCTGGCCCGCCCAATAGCCTGCTACCCTCTGCCTTTAACCTCTTGTGGCCAAGGCTGGGTTGCTAACGCTGGCTCGCTTGCCTTGCTGGTCTCCAGGGAAATCAGCGGCGCTCCGGGAAAGCTTGTCTTTTCCGCCACATATTTCCTGCATGAACTCACTTACGGTGCTTTTAGCGATGGTGGTTTTTTGTTATTTTTTTTCCTACCCGGAGAAGCTACAACGCGGATGGTGCGTGAGACCCAAAACTGCGCCGGGTCCGAACGTTAATAATAGCAACAGCGGATGCTAGAACTGCCCTGAGGCTCTGCGTTCCCCCCAGCCTGGCCCAGATCTTCGCTGGTTAATCTGCTTTGCACACGTGCAGTTGGGCTCTTAAAGGTGGGATGGGAAGCAAGCGTCTCTCGGGCTTTTCCCCCTGGAGGAGCCTCTTCTGGACAGTTTATTATAGAGAGGAGATGCCAATGAGCTGCCCGAAGCGCCCCCCCCAAATAGTGCCCCCTCCTGTCAACACCTTTTAGGCTGGAATATTTACAAGTTAACAAAATGCCCTCCTCCCTCCGTCTGTAACCCGCTGGTTGAATCAGCCCCCATCGCTCCCTCCCCTCCTACCTTATGTAAACGTTTAGGCATCAGTTTGCACGGGGCTAAAGCAAGGAGTTTGGGCGATCGCCTCCAGAAAGCGAAGTAGGGGGGCGGGCTTCTCCAACTGAAGTCCCTGGTGTTAATGAAAAGCAGGGGCAGTGGAGAGGGGGGCGCACGCGTGCCTCTGCCCTCTCCATGGGTGGTCTGCGCTCGGATAAACACATGGGCCTCTTAGCAAAGCAGCACCCAACTGCACAGTCTTCTTACAACAATAGTACCTATATACATTTCCATACTCGGATTACAGGCTGGCTTGTTGCAGAGTCTAGTTCACTTAAGCAATTAGCTAGTAAAAATACCTTCAGTGCAGGAAAAGGAAGAAAGCTCAGATTTGTCTATTTTTACACAAAGCACTGCAGATTTAAAAAAAAAGGAGAAAAAAATGTCTTTTGGAAATTAAATGTCTTTTGGAAATTTGAAAACAGAGGGTTATTTAAAAAAAAAAAAGAAACATTACAGGCCCACTGGGCTGATTTTTAGCCCAACCGTCTGATGTGAAATCTGCATCAAAGTAAGCAACATATTTTAAAAGACAATAATTGCTCCAAATTATATTTTCCCCATCTCGTTTATTTTGCTGACGGGGCCACAGATGAGGAGGGGGGATCTTATATTTTATTTTGTTTGTTTTATGCAGGGAAATATCTATCTACATGAATCACCAGCCTGACGTTTTTCTAGAGCAGGAATTTAAGACATATCCTATTTGCCCTTTAAGAATCCGGTCTTGACCATATTTTGAATAATTTTGACGTTTTATAACCAACAAACCACTGAAGATAACAAGTTATCTAACAACATGGTCCTCTCAGTCCATAATAAGAGTGACACTGAGGGTTAATATATTGTAAAATAAAATCCCTGTGCTAGATACAATAAATCATGTCTTGGCCTTTATTCCCAAAATCTGTTATTTACTAAATACACGGGTTAGTTTACTACATAAAACGATGTAATATTTCTTCCTTTCCCACAGCTAGGCCTATGAAATACGGAGTAGATTATATGGGGTTTTTTTTAAGTTTACCAGATAAATACGTCGGGAAAAAATCTTCACACTCCCAAAAGTCACTGGGGGAAACAAAGAAAACAATTAAGCAAAAGATTGTTTTATTTTTTAGAAAATTGTTTCGTTAAGATCACTGAAACAAGCGTCATGTTTGCTCCAGGTGATTGTTGTTGTTTTTTCCTGATACAATAGTGGACATACTTCCTCATGTAAATTACCACCAACATTTTAACTTGAACTGCAATGCAAGCTGTAAAGGCAGAATTTTATTTTTAATGTGTCCTTATCAGCACCCCAGAAACAATTGCAAAAGATCTTAATACATTGCATCCCTTGTTTAGAATTCTGGAATTGACATATATAATCTGGGTTCTGAATTGTTTAATTTCCAAATTCATTCTTTATATTTCTTTCAAGCAAAGTGGGGGGAGGGAGGGAGGGAGAGAGGGAGAGGGAGGAAAGTATCTACAATTCGATTTCATATTTTAAAGAAATCAAGACAAATAATAATTTGAGCTATAACATAATAGCTGCAATGGAGAAAAATAGGTTAGACAGGCTCAGAAGAAAATTAAAGGCTGATTTAAGAAGGTTATTTTGCATTATACATTTGGGATCTGTAAACAGAGAAAGCATATGCTCACTAAGGAAGAGCTGGGGAAATGTCTGATTTTTTTTTAACTAAGCAACAACACACGATTTGTTATCCCCGTTTGCTCTATGCTTTTTCTGGCATAGAATGGTATTTTAAACCATGTGTCTTCCTGCTTTGAGATGGAGATGTGGGACGGGATTTTCTGCGCTGGGGGATGGTCCCTCCTCCGTATAATATCAATTTATGGGAACATTTCACCGTATTTCTATAGCCGGGGGAGTGGGGAGAAGGCCACATAGAAACAGAGAGCCCCCTGACACATTGCAGTTATATGTGGATTATCCTGCAACCCAGGCCCTGAATCCAGGCTATTTACTAGAGAGCTTTCTTTCTCGCTCGCAGCTTAGGGCATTTGACCGGCTGTGAAATACCAATCAGAAAATCATTCTCTGCAGTACATACGTGTCCTCGATGCTTCACTTTTCTGTATTGTTAGCATGTTTAAGGGCCAGTTGCACACAACTATATACCGAGGCACATTGACAGATCTGAACTGAGCTGCAAAAGTCCCGAAATGCGCTTGTTTCCCGGGGAAACACACGTTCTGCTCCCCCCTTGCAAACGCTGGAGATTGCTTCGGAGTGTTGCAAGGGGAAAAGAAGAAGAAGAAGAAAAAAAATCCTGATGTGAAATCCCTGTTGGTGGTATCACAGATGTGTCAGGCGCCCTAGAGGCTAGTAACGACTGGCTGCAAATAACGTTAACAGGGATTTTGGAAACCCGATCAGTATCTATCTTTCTTTTAAAAGGAATTAAATTAACATAAAACCCTTAAAAGCGAATCTGGGCAGAAGGGGGAATTAAAGGAGGAAGGAGAGACGGCGGAGGGGGTTTCAGCCTTTCACCCGGTTAAGATACTTTGCAGAGCCGAGAACAGGCAGCAGCAGCACAAATTCAGTTGGGTTTTTTTCGTACTATCTGGCCTTTGCTCCCCCCCCCCCCCCCGCCATCTTGACAAGAAAGAAAACGGCAACAGCCAGCACATCTGCTCAGTTTCTAGCGATGAACTGTGAAAGCCAACCCCCCCTCCCCCGCCCGGCCCTCCGCACAAGCCCCTCTCACAGCTTAATTGTGCAAAAGTTACCACGCGCGCCTGGTAAGAAGGTGACAAAAGTTTAAAGTGACTTACCTTGATTAGTGAGTGACAGCTTTACTGAGGAAAAGATGGTCAGACTTTTTGGGGGTGGGGGTCTGAGGAAGGCTTTGCCCTCCTTTTCCTCCCCGCCCCCCCATGTGGTGTGTGTGTGTGTGTGTGTTGTGTGAGAGAGAGAGAGAGAAAGAGAGAGAGAGATCCATTACTTCTGAGGATCAAAGTCTGGGCATAGCTGAAAAAATCAACACATATTTATATCACAACAACAACAACAAACAACAACAAAAGTCTAACCCGGCAGCAAATCAGGCGACGGGCGCTATTTTATATGGCGCAGTGAGGGGCTCTATGCGAACTACCAGGGACTTTTCTTTCTGATTTCTTTTTATTAAAGAACCCCTGAGAAGATGTTTACATTTCGCTGTATAAACATCCTGCCCATGTTCCTGTCTATCTTCAAAAGAAATCAGAAACTGGGTTTTTAAGTGGGCGAGCTTCACTCCTGCTACATTTCAAATTAGATTCGCACTCCAGGGCGAGCCGCCTGTCCCCTTTTTCATAGTTGTGTACAAACAGCCCCGGCGGCGTTCAGAGCCAGCAAACAGCTGTTTTTCTCGGGCGAGACGCGAGTCGCCCGGGAACTTAAACCTGCTGCTACTTGGATTTTTGTCTCTTTTAAATCCTGCAGGCGCGTTGACTCTCCCCCCCCCAGCCCCGCTCCGTTGCGATCTCTATTATGATTTCAGAATAGAGACGGTAAGAGCAAAGATCTCAGAAAACTGCCTCGTTCAGAGCAACTTTGTCTTCACCGTCCTCCACTGGGCTTTGGAAAGATGGGGCTGACAATCAGAGAAGTCCAGAGGAAAATGTTAGTGACTTAAAAATGTTGCTACCTGCGAGGCAAAATAAAGACAATAAAACGCCCCCCCCCTCCCAAATCACCCCCACAGACCGCCTGGGGGGGGGGGCGTACTGAAAAGGGATTGACGCCCAATACGAGAAGGAGCCGCCTGGGAATCAGTTGCAAAGCAGTTGGCCGGAGTGTAAAGGTCCCTTTAAGTGCCCACCAGAGCTGAGCCTGAGCGAGGGGGTGGGGGGAGAAAAGGGGAGGTGGGGGAGTTGGTTGGGGCGGGGAACTCCCGTTGCTTCTTACGTCTGACTGTCAAGATCCGACAGACGCCGCTGACACGAGATAAAGTTAAAGGCGATCGGCTCGGCTGGGGGCAGAACCAGCCCGAGTGAGATGAAAAGCAACTCCCAGCAGCAGCCGAGCTGAGAGCCAGGAGGCGGCGTTGGGGGAGACCGGCCTCTTGCAAAACAACGTAGGGGAAAAGAAAAAAAAAAGAAAGAAAACCCAATTCCAGGGGGCTTCTCTGCTCCGCACCCGAGCCCGGACAGCGGCCCGGTCCCTTCGCCTCTGGCTCAGCCTTGCCGCGGGGCTCGGATTTAGGGGCAGGGTGGAGGGGTCACTTGCGTTTGTTTATTCCAAGGGGCTGCAGGCTCCTGGTGGAAAAACCCCCTGCACCTAGGGGAGGGGGGGCCACTCACAACCCCCAGCAGCGCGGCCGGGGCAGGGGGGAGGAGGGCCGAGCAGAGGGGGGCCGGAGCTGGTTTGGGGACGCCGCTGTCGATGACTGCAGAGGTGCAGCAGGCTCCTTCCTCTCAGCCCCCTCCTCCCGCGGCGCACGGCGGCTGCAGCCTCATGTCCTCCGCGCTGGAGAAGCAGCAGCAGCCGGGCTCGGCCATGGAGTCCGCCTCCTCCGCCGCCAGCAGCACCCCGGCGGGCGGCGGCAAAGCCAAGAAGAGCAACGCCGGGATCCGGCGGCCGGAGAAGCCCCCTTACTCCTACATCGCCCTGATCGTCATGGCCATCCAGAGCTCGCCGTCCAAGCGCCTGACGCTGAGCGAGATCTACCAGTTCCTGCAGAGCCGCTTCCCCTTCTTCCGCGGCTCCTACCAGGGCTGGAAGAACTCCGTGCGCCACAACCTCTCGCTCAACGAGTGCTTCATCAAGCTGCCCAAGGGGCTGGGCCGCCCGGGCAAGGGCCACTACTGGACCATCGACCCGGCCAGCGAGTTCATGTTCGAGGAAGGCTCCTTCCGCAGGAGGCCCCGCGGCTTCAGGAGGAAATGCCAAGCCCTCAAGCCCATGTACAGCATGATGAACAGCCTGGGCTTCAACCACCTCTCCCCGGAGAGCTACAGCTTCCAGGGCACGGCCGGGGGCCTCTCCTGCGGCCCCAACAGCCTCGGCCTGGATGGGGGCCTGGGCATGATGAACGGGCACTTGCCCAGCAACGTGGACAGCATGGGCCTGGGGGGACACTCCGTGCCCCACCTGCCTGCCAACGGCGGGCACTCCTACATGAGCAGCTGCACCGGCTCCTCCGGGGGCGACTACCCGCACCACGAGAGCTCCGTGCCGGCCTCCCCGCTGCTGGCCAGCGGCGGGGTGATGGAGCCCCACTCGGTCTACTCCAGCTCGGCCTCGCCGTGGGCCCCTTCGGCCTCGGCCGCCTTGAACAGCGGGGCGCCCTACATCAAGCAGCAGTCCTTGTCCCCCTGCAACCCCGCGGCCAACCCGCTCTCCTCCGGCCTCTCCACGCACTCCCTGGACCAGTCCTACCTGCACCAGAACAGCCACAACGCCGCAGAGCTGCAAGGTAACAGGGGAGGTGGGGGGCCGGTGCCCGGGGCCTTCCCAGGTGCACTGCTGAGGAGCAGGCCAGAGAGCATGCATGCAACGTAGGCGCAACATCCATGCAAGTGATCTCACGCGAGCCATGCAATAGATCCATGCAAGTGACCGTACGAACACTTCCTGCGAGTGTTTGTATGCTCAGGCATCACACACACACACACACACTTACATGTGTGGACATGCACGCCTGCACACTTAAACATATACACACGCATATAGAGGCGTGGGGCCCCGGCCTCTACCTCTTTTCTCCCACGGCTGTTGTGTAAGTTTTGTGACACCATTTTCGCGTCCTTTAGGAAAAGATTTTAAATCTGTCATGTCTAAATGTGAAAAATAGTTAGATAAATACAAGTGTGTGTGTGTGATATTTTAGTTATCTATCTTTCTGATTTCAGATTCAGGCCCCAAATCTGATTTAGGAATTCAGGCCCCAAATCTGATATCACTCCTCCCACCTTTTTCGGTGCACTCTGGTTTACATTGGATTCCTCCAATTTGGGGTTATTTCTCTGCAGTCTCTTCGCAGCCTGTATAACAAACAAGAGTAATTGCTGGCTTGGTACATTAACGATCGCTTCCTACCTCTGCAAAGCAGATCGGTAGAGCTGAATAGCGATATCCACACCTAAGCACTCACATTAGAGCCGTGAAATGCCGTCGCTTTTGCAAACAGAGCTAACGCTGCAGTAGTTTAGGGGGGATTTGGCTAGGGACAGGAGGATGTCCCGATAGATGACCCCAAAGTAAATAATTTAGAGTTCAGTATCCCGCGCCTTAGGTTAGACTCTTCCCAGCCGGGGATCATGGTTTTTTCCTTGCCAGGGTGAATTAAACCAGCGCACCTACTCCCCTTGTGCTGGGGAGACCAGCTATTCTTTGCACGGAGGGAAATATCCCGCGAGGTGCGATTTCACCTAGGGAGGGGGATGCGGTTTCTAGGAGCCAGGAGCTGTTGTGGCCAGGGGCTGAGCCACTCCCGGACAGGGCTTGCTTCAAGGAAACACGCCAGTGGCGAGGCGAGGGTTTAGGAGGGCAGCGGCCGGCAGGAGCGGCGAGCTCTGGGAAGAGGTTATCTCGGGCCCAGCGGCCTGCGGCTTTGCTGGGGATTCCCATTGCCTGCGGTGGGGACAGTCCCACGCTGCGCTGATTGCACCATCCCATTGCAGGGCACCTAGGGTGAAATCCCGGCTCCATTGCAGGCCGGGGGAGGGGGGTGGTTGTCCAGAGGCCAGGATTTCGGGATTTCACCCCTGTCATGCGTGGCGTTGAAACCAGTTCCGCCGGGCTGTTTTTCCGGGCATGTTTTTCTGCGCGGAGGTTGGTGCTTTCATGTCCCGTGTGCACTTTCGTCCTAGGCCCTGTGCTATTGAGAAGGGAGCGGGGGTGACTGTGGGACCCGAAGAGGGGGAAATGTTCCGATATATTTTCACCCGATCTGAATTAATCGATTAGATCGGGCACTAAAAGCGTCGAACCAAAAATGAATCCAGATCTCTGGATCAACTCTGACCTCAGTGGCAATTCTGTTCGATCGGGTCCTTGTATCGAGACGCTGTAGACACGATGAACTGGATTAATGGCCCGCTCGATCATATTTTCTGTTAGGGCTCGCAGTAAGAATACAAACGAAGTGATCGCAAAGCAGGAAAGTTTTAGAACTGCCACACAGAGTTGCTGTTTTTCAATAGGGCTAAACCCAGGGTTTCTCCTTGGCCTGACTTTTGTGTTGAAACCTGACAATTAACTTCAGCAGCCCTTTAAAAAAATCGCTGCCTCTTTCCCTCTATTTCTCTCGCCATTTTAATCGAGTGCTATTTGGGGGAACTATATTTTTAATACATCTCCTGGGGGGCCCATCTGGGCTTTGAAATGCGGGCCTGCTGGAGAAACGTACAGTCCGGCGTGTAAACGGAGTCCCATAAAATAAGGGGGAACCGGAATAGCGGCCATGGAACAGCAAGAGTGAACACTGCGGTGTCACCCTTGGCAGATCTCTTTTCCTACCTATCCGATGGCAGGTGGAACGCTCAGCCCCTCATGTAAACATACTGTTAAGGGAACCAAACTGCAGAGCCTGGAGTAATCCAGATTAATAATTTCAGATCAACTGCGAAAATATAATTGGAATAGACTGGATGAATCATTTCAGATTAGCTGCAAAATTCTATGGGACTAGTCCGGATTAATTATTCGAAATTAACTGCAAAGTATCATTTATTCCGAATCGGAGAGACACACTACGGGGTTTTTTAATACAAGATTTTAAACACCAAGCGTGTAACAATGGCACCAACATGGGAGCACTTGGGTTTGATCGATTAGATAGAAGGAAACGTTTCAGAGTTGATTGATTTTGTGCTGGAAAACATGAATAATTTGGAAGGCTCTCGGCACCCTTGCGCTTACTAGTCATTATTATCCTTGTTCCCACTGCCGTGGCTTGCTTTAATATAGCATTGCTTTGCTTTGGGTGTCACTGGGGGAAATCTCTTTGGAGGTTTCACTTTGATTTCGATGGGAGTTCTGCTTTAAAACCCCAGGCTCGCTGGGCTCCTTCCATTTGACCCCCACGTTTGCTAACTCTTCTTCTTTTCGTTGTCAGCGCTCAGGAGTAGTGGGAGCAGGGAGGGGTAAGCAGTCAAAGCCCGGTAGGTCCCATTGGAAATCAAGGGGCCTTTCCCTCCCCCGTTGACTCCCACGGAAGGAGCATCAGGCCCTCAATCTGTACATCAAGGACGCAGAATGTAAACACACATCTTCGAAATGCTTCTGCTTCCTTAGCCCGCCAGGAAATATACCGCCCCATCCTGCAATTCGCATTCGGGCAAAACTCCCATTAAAGTCAATGGGAATTTCCTCTGAGTAAGGACTGCCATGACAGCACCTGTTTGTGCGCAACAAAAACCCCTGGGATGATAAAGCAGCACTGGCGTGTTCCCTTCCGTGCAGTGAAAACCCTCCTCCCAAATGCCCCCCCAGCCAGCACGGGGTGATGGTAGAGAACCCCCAAGCGTCTTCATTTGATTTAGGCCTCTCTATAGGATTACTGTTCTAGCCACTTGCTAAAGCGTCATTTTAATTCTGATCCCCGATTTCTTCCAGGAATCCCTCGGTATCATTCCCAGTCTCCAAGCATGTGTGACAGGAAAGAATTCGTCTTCTCTTTCAACGCGATGGCCTCTTCCTCGATGCATTCAGCAGGGAGTGGATCTTACTATCATCAGCAAGTGACATACCAAGACATCAAGCCGTGTGTTATGTGATAACAGGCAACTAAGCCAACTTTTGGGGACTCCCCCCCCAATCACGACACAAAGGAAACTTTCTATGTGGAAGGGACCTCCCAAAAGACCCTCTGTGCTAAAGGGACA